ATCTCATATTCAAAAGTACTAAGTAATGATTGTGATTTAATGGATATATGCAGAAGTAACCTAGAGGATTCTTCAATAGTAACCCCAACATTGCTTTCTTCCTACTTCATGCCACGGATTTTTTTTTTCCTTCTGCTCTCTCTTTTCCCTGCTTGGTCGCACTTCTACCCTCAGTAACTGTTATGGGTTGAATGACTGCACTCCCAAAATTCACACGCTGAAGCCAGAATCCATAATGTGGCTATACTTGGAGATGAAGTCTCTAAAGTAGTAGTTAAGGTTAAATAAGGTCAAAAGGGTAGAACCCTGATCAAGGAGGATTGCAGTCCTTATGAGAGAGAGGAGCAATAACAGAGCACTTCCTCAACTTGTCCTTACAAAGAGGCCATGTGATTGTCGATAGTGACTGTTTACAACTCAAGAGAAGAGGCCTCAGTATAAACCCACTTTGCTAGTAGGCTACCCAGCATTCCGTGCTTGAGAAATAAATTTGTTCTTTAAGCAATCTGTAGTATTTTTTATGGCAGCATGAGCAGATTAACACAGCAGTTAAGAAGTTCGAGGCAAACAGTTTTAAAAGCAATTTCTTATACAACATTTAACTACTTAATATATTAAAGATTTGAATTTTTTAAAACCCTGTGAAGAAGCTGGGTAGGTTTTTCCAGGAAAGTTTCATATAGACTTTTTAAATTAGTACATGTTTGCAGTGTACTGATTGTGGGGAGTTGGTACATATGTGTAACACATCTTCCTTCCTTTTTTCATCATATTCCCTCCCCTTTTTCTCCCTTGTTCCATCTCTTGGTTCCCTTTCCCATTTGAAAATGAGCCAACTCACTGCTTCTTATTATCTCTTTTATTTTGCTCTGCATTTATATTTTGAGCTTCTCATGCAAGGGAAAACGTGACATTTGAGCTTGTGTGGTTGATTTATTTCACTTAACATTATGGTCTCCAAATGCACCCATTTTCCTATGAATGACTCATTTATCTTTCTTTATAGGAAACTAGTACTCCATGGTGTGTAAATGCCACAATTTCTTTACTCATTCACCTGTTGATGGACACATATGCTGCCTTCCAAGATTTAGCTATTGTGATTGTGCTGCTCTAACCATGGGTATGCACGTATCATAATATGATGTCTTCACCTCTTTCAGGAAGATGCCCAAAAGGGAAATAGCTGGTCAAATGAAATTTCTAGTTTTAGCTTTTTGAGGACTCTCCATAATGATTTCCACAGTGGTTGTACTAGTTTACAGTCCCACCGACCATGCAGAAATAATTATTTCCCCCCACAGCCTCACCAGCATTTGTTATTGATTTCTTGAAGATGGGCGTTCTCTCTGGGGAAAAGATGGAATCTCAGGGTTGTTTTAATTTGCATTTCTCTAATGGTCAACAGCGTTGAATGTTTTTCCATATATTTATTGGCCACTGGTATTTCTTCTTCTGTGAAGTATCTATGCATTTCACTTGCTCATTCTTTTATTGAGGGGTTCTAAATTTTATATATTCTAGCTTCTTGTCATCTGAGAAATAGCTGGCAAATTTTTAACCAGAATCTATAGGTTATCTTTTTACTCTGTTGGTTGTTTCTTTTGCTGTGCAGAAACTTGAATTTGATATGATTCCATTTGTTGATTCTTGGTACTATTTCTTATACAGTTGGGTTCTGTTTAGAAAATCCTTGCCTACACCCACAACTTCAAGAGTTTTACCTATTTTATCTCCAGCAAGTTGTGTTACTAATATTTGGTTCATTGATACATTTGATTTTAGTTTAGTACATGGTGAGAGATATGGGTCTAGCTTCACTCTTCTGTGTGAGGATAGCTAGTTTTCCCAGCATCATGTATTAAAAAGACTATCTTTCCTCTACTGAATGCTTCTGGCCCCTTTGTCAATGATCAAATAATTGAACGTGCTTGGTTTTTTTTTTTCTGCATTCTCTGTTCTGTTACATTGATCCTCAAGTATTTGTGCCAGCACCGTACTGTTTTTATCAAGTTAGCAATATAATTTCAAGTCCAGGATTGTGATGCCTCATGTTTTGTTCTTGTTACTGGGATTGCTTTTGCTATTCCAGGTCTCTTCTGGTTTCATATCAATTTTAGGATTATTTTCTCCAGTTCTGTGAACAATGCTATTGGTGTTTTGATCGATTGTGTTAAATCTGTATATCACTTTTGGAAATATGATCATTTTGATTATATTGGTTCTGTCTATCCAGGAACAGGGGATATATTTCTGTTTTTTTAGAGTACTATAGTTTTCATTGTAGAGGTCTTTCACTTAGGTTAATTCCTAAGTACTTAATTTTTCTTGGTGCTATTTTGAATGACATGTTTTCCTAATTTTTCAATGGGTTCATTATTAGTGTATAGGAACATTATTGATTTGTGTGTGTCGATTTTGAATCCTACTACATTGCTGAATTTGGTTATTAATTCTAGTAGTATTTTGGTTTAATTTTTGGGTGTTCTATGTAGAGGGATGTGTTGCCTACAAATAACAATAATTTGACTTCTTCCTTTTCCATACATACCCCTTTTATTTCTTTTTCTTGCCCAATTGCTCTTGCTAATGTTTTGAGTACTGTATTGAACAGGAATGGTGATAGAGGACATTCTTGTCTTACTCCAGATTTTAAAGGGAAACCTTTCAGGTTTTTTACATTTAATATGATATTGACAGTGGGTTTGTTCTAAATGGGTTTATACTTATATTCCTAAGTGCTTTTTGAGAGGGTGTTGGATTTTGTCAAAGGCCTTTCCTATGTCTATTGAGATGATCATGTGATTTTTGTTTTTGCTTATGTTTATGTGATGTATTACATTTATTGATTTGAGTATATACTGAACCATCCTTGCATCCTTGGGATGAAGCCTACTTGGTCATGATGTTATGATCTTTTTGATAATTTGTTGCATTGTTTCCCAATATCATATTGAGGACTTTTTCATCTATGTTCATGAAAGAGAATGGTCTATAGTTCTCTTTTTGGCTGGATCCTTGTCTGGTTTTGGAATCAAGGTGATGCTCATAAAGATTCTAAAAATCATTGCTATCGCTTGTATTTAGAAGTCTCACCAAAGCTTTATGCAGTCTTAAGTGGACCTTTTCCAGAGGTGTCTAGATCTAGGTTGGGTGATTAATTTATGGTGCACTTAAGGGTGCTAGGATCAAGGGTGAGTGACTAAATCAGCTTACTGATTTGTTTGGCACCATCCTAATCCTGGTAGCCTGGATACAATATAAAGGACAGACAGAGGCTTGTCTTGTCCCTTATTTGCTTGCTTGCTTTGCTACCTTGTGAACTGTTTCTCCTCTGTGATTCCTGTTTGCTATGCCACCCTGCCTTTAAGCCAGCTGATTATGGATAGAAACATCTATAAACTGCAAACCAAATAAACCTGTCCTTCTTTAACTTTGGGTGTTGGGTATTTTGTCTCAGCAAAGAGAAAAGTAACTAAGACACATTCAATCTTGCTTCTACACTGAAATCAGGGAATATCAGCATGAGAAGGGTTCTTGGCCAAGAAAAAGAAAAAAAATCAGGCTTTATCATGATTTTGGAGTTATAAAAAATTCTCTATCAACCTGGCATATGTTTTGAAAGATGTTGGAGGTAAGATGGGTTAATGAGTAGTTAATAGTCTTCGTTTTCGCTAAATCAGGATTACTGAGTGCAATGAAAAATTTTCATAACTTTTAGAATGCTTTCAAAAAACTAGCAGGACTGTTTTAGCAATATCATTAACAACATCATCAAATTGCTAAGACTGAAAATTATTGTGGGTCAGGTTTGTTAAAATACATTAAATCTGACCTAAAGCTGACTCTGTTTTAAATAACTATATTTCTTGAATTGCAACCTAACATGAACTTTTGCAACAAGTTGCAGGAGATACAGTGGATTTTAATAGCAGCAGAGCTCCAGCCAATCAGCCCACCACCTGATCACACCATGGCCACATAAGGCAAATGCCCAGCTACAACCAATCAAGCTGTTTCTCTGCATCAATTCCTTAAAAAAAATTTTTTTTTCTTTAGATTGCCTGCCCAGAGGTGGTGTTTCTGAACTTTTACTACTGGTTCAGCATGGCGTACCATTCATGAATCATTTATTTGCTCATTATTTGCTTAGCAAGTTTATCCAAAGTTTATACTTTTAACCTGCTAAAGACTTTATGTCTATTTTCTTACATAACAATAACAGTACTTTAATCTTATTGTAAGACACTATTATGGAAAATGAAAGCGTTACTAAAATAGCCCTACTCCTATCACATTGTTTTATTGTCTTCAGCCTCCCTCTCTTCCCTACCTTATTTTCTAGGTTTCTCCAATACTCTCCACAGGCCCTAAAATAGTGCATTCCATGAAAAAACAAAGAAACAAAAACACTTCATAAACTTTTGATGAAGGTCACAGAACCTGTCCATGAGGCAGTTAGGACTCAATCACCACTTGGTGAACGCTTATAGAGCAAGAGCCTGGCTATTTTCTACTAACCAGAGTATGGCATGGTGTCTGGAATACAGTGGACAGTAAACAAATATGTACAGAAAAGAAGAAAAGGAGGGAGAGAAGGGAAGAGTAACGATGAATGAAAACGTTCCCAGAAAGCACAGTGAGCGTCTACAATTTGGTCTCCTAGAAGAAACACAGCTCACTATTGAAGTCAGCACTTTCTTCACCGGGAGGCACCAGAGGACGACAAGGAATGGAGGAAAAAACAAAGCCCTTAAAAACATTCGGTAGAAAGAGAAAAACTACGAAAAGAGGAGGGGAAAGAGAAGAAACCGCCTCCTGGAGGCCAAAAGAAAAAGAAAGCCAGGCGAAGCCGTTACCATGGTGACCCCAGGACCAGGACGGCCCCAGCCCATTGGCTGAGACGCCACCGCCAATGAGAAGGCACTATGTTGACGAGGTCTTAAAATGGATGCCGAGTGGACGCTTCCTGATCGGTGAGTACGACTTTTTGCGGAGCTGGTTCCTGGTGGGCTCTGTCGCCGGCGTGACGGGTCCAAGGGCGCCCCGTGAGGGCAACAGAGGGGCCGGACCGTGCGACCTCACAGTTCTCTGGCCGGAGTGGCGGGGACAGTTTAGAAAGCTTCGGGCCGAGTCCATGGGAGCGATGCGTTCCGCCTGGCTCGGAGGGGCGTTTCGGCGCCTTCCCTAGCCAGTTAATGGGAGAGGGGTTCTCTGTCCTGTCCCAACCAAAGTGAGAAAGGCTGAGGAGCTTTTGAACAAGGAAACAGGCTCATCTTTACAGTTCTTGTATCCGAGAGAGCAGCTTATGTAGATATTCTACGCTGGAATCCGTGGTGCTTAGTTCTGTGGAAGGAGGGGATTCTCCCGGTTTTGGGATTGGAGTGTGGCCCTGCCGTCAGAGAGCCTGCCGAGTTCCGGGTTGTGCAGCCAAACAGGAAAAGGTGTACCCTTCTAAGAGCCACCCTCTTGCAATCTTGAAGCTTGTAAGTATTCTCACAGTGGCTTCGAATTAAAGTGAGCCTTGAAATCTTACTGGTTAATTGTAAATCTTGCCATGCGAGGCCAATGGTCTGGGGAAGTGTTTTCCAGTCTCGGTCTCGTTAAACTCTCTTTAATGAAACACATGCATACATGCAAAATCCTACTAAATAGTTTATCTGGGTAAGCAGATTGACAACTTAAATCCTAACCCAGTTCTATTCATCAGTTATATTTTCTGTATCTTTTTGAGAAAAGGGAGCACATTTGTTTCATAAACGTAATTTAGGACATTTACATTAATAGTGATATTACATGCTCACGTATTTTAGTTAAGTAATTTCAAATCACAGAAACTGTGTAATTCACAAAATCTTTAAGATTAGTGGATGGTGGCTTATGATTATTTTACAAGTTAGATTAGACAAGATTCAGGTTTCTGTGATTATTTGTAATACAATAAAAATATAGAATATAAGGTAGCTTCATTTGATAAAAGTGAAATTCACTTCTGGGCTATAGGAGACAGGAAACATCCGTGGAGCTGTTCAGATTATATCTTTGGGGTTTTGATTATAGGCAGCTGCCTGGTCTTCCAGAAAATAAGACGTTGTTACCCAGATTTCTGAATGTGACTTTCACGTGTGCAGTTTAGTGTACCATGTAGATTTCTATATTTTAAAAAGTACAGGAAAAAAATCCTAACTAAATTTCAACAAGTCTGTACTTACAGGCTAGCATCGTTCTTTAGATCTACTCATAAATCTTTGTCTTCTCCAAGAATGTTACCCTTCCCAGTTCTGCTCTCTAAAAGTTCATAATTTAAAGCCATAGGTTCAAGTTTTGTAAAATAAATGGATTGCAATTATGAGACAATTCAGTTACTTCATCTGTAAAAAAGGCTATCAATAGTAATTTTTGGTGAAAGGATTGTTGTGAAGATTAATGGTAGGTAAACCATTGCCTGCCCCTTTGTATTGCTAGTGACCTGCTTTATTTCCTCTTTCTATTCCTTCTGTGTTCTCTTGTAACCGTGGTTTCCTTTCCTTTCTCCTGTCCTTATGTACAGACTCTTTGAAAGTGGTAATCTTAGCTGGGCTGCTGGGTAGAGGATGGAAGCCTTATCTCCTCGGATTTAGTCAGGATTGCATATGCTGGAAGAAAATGAAATTTTACAGAACGGAGTGAGGTGCCGCTGGGTATCTGGGATCACTTAATAATATTAAGATCATAAAGAAACATTTTAGAGTCCTCTCAGCAATCATCTGATCGCACATATCCTTTAAAGCTTTAGGAAGGAGACCTATTCAAATAGTGATCTGCTTTGGACAAGAAATCATCTGACTTTGAAGCCAGAGTTTTGGCCCCATAAATCAGTAGTTCCTAATTCTTGCACAGTCTAGAACTCCTTTTGTTACAAATTGAAATCTCTATGGATTCTATATTTTGAAAGATTGTGCTTTACTAAGCTATGTTCATTGTTTTTCTTGTGAAAGTCAGACTCATAGATTCCAATCAGCATCTCTAGTGAGCAAAGGAATAATGAGTGCTTCACTGAATTTAAGTCTCCTCACCTAAAGGTAGATGATTTTTGTCTCACTGGGAGGAAAAATATAGTGGGTTTTTGAAAATACTGAAATTAATTTAGTGATTCCAATTACTACCGTGATACAGAACAGGAACTGCTAAACTAGTGTCCCACTGCCCAAGTATGTTAAATAATGATTTTGGTTGGTTTTCAGAGGCAAAAGAATACGCAGCTATTCAGACCAGTTTGATACAGAAATGTTTTTATTTTATAGTAATGTCACCCCAGGGCTCAGATGTTCTGCATAGTGACACAGAATGTTTTGTAGGATAATTGTAGGTTGGAAGAAATATTAAATCAGAGGTGAAGAATGTATGAAATGATAAAGAAGATGATATTCAGAACTGTAGAGAAAAAAAGTGTGAATCATTCACATTTTTCTTGGGACTAAAATTATTAATAGTTATTTTGGTTATGGGCTAAAAACTGAAATCTTATTAATACATTGGCTTTTATATAAACCTGGCTATAATCTCCGTTTTTAAAAAAGTTTCGCCTTCTTTGGTATTACATGTCTCTTGAGAACGATTAAGTGAATTTTCCCAGTTAAAGGGTAATTTGGAGTTAACTACTTTAAAAAAAGAAACACACTATGAAAGTCATGAGTAAAAGACATGTTAAAGAAAAAGTCATCCTCCAGAGCAGCCCAAAACAGGAATAACAGGAGGCCAGACATGGTGCTGATTAGAAAATGCGTGTTCAATCTCTAGTACCAAAAAAAAAAAAGAAGAAAATGCGTGAATAACATGTATGCACTATGCAGAGGAAGACAGTGTTTTCAAATAGGAGCCCACAACAGAAGTCCCTAAGCAGCCCGTGCATATTGACTGATTAAAGATGAGCTGCTACATATTGGGCATTTCCGTTTTGCAAGCTCCATAGGGAATGGCAGCAGTTGTCTGTGCTTATCAGTGGCTACTGAGTCTCCCTTGTTTTATTTGTTTTGGTTTTTAGCACAAGAAAATGGCCTACGACTAAAGATTTTTAAGAAGTTCAAAACCAACCTATTTTAATTTTGCCTTGTTTTATGGATTTGAAGGGGGAAACCACTTTTTAGAGTAGCTTTACTTTCTTTTTTCTTTCAGTACACTCAAATCGTGATGTTAGGTAAATGTCTTGTTCAAGACAGTTCTTAATGTCATGTCCGGAGGAATAATTTTGAGAAAGTCCAAAAGCCAAAAAAAAAATGGATGACTGTCATTATTGATACGCTGTTTTCTGCCTATGTTTGCTTTTGTGGGCTGAAAGCCTGTTGAAGAAAAGCAAGCCTTTAAGGCACCTGAGACTGTTCCCCAGAGCATAGACCAGTGATGGTGAACCTTTATAGCTTTCAATGATATAAACAGCCCGCGTGCCATATGTTTGCCACCACTGGCATAGACGGTCCTCCTGCAGAGATGTGAAAGCAGTGGTCTGGCAGCAGACCTGCAGTTGTCCCTTGGCAAAAACATGCCCTCTAAGATCCAGGTTGAGTTGACACTTGGCCGCTGGTTGACAGAAAGCAACCATATATGTAGATGTCCCCCGTGGGTTTAGGGCTTTCTGACTGTTTTGAAGTCTTTCTGTTTCCAAGGTCTGAAAGCGTACTTAGCACGAAGCGTGTAAAAAGTGCCATGGACAGGAAGAGAAACAGTGCTGACACAGACCCCACTTAGGTTAAGAAATCTAAATCTGAAATTTATTGCTGTCCTCAAGCCCTTAAATAGATAATGATCCTACAGACATTTTTGTGTAAGTGGCAAAGTTATATTGGAGTTTATTACTGCTCTCCACCTTTTGCTCCTCAGAACAGTAGAAATATTTTTATTAATAGGACAGTCATTTTCCAGTATTGGCATCTTTTTTTGTATGTTGTCTTTTATAGTACCGACTTACCTCAAGAGTACCTCTGTCCCAATTTTTAACATCCACAGGCTAGGTTTAGGAATGGGTTCAAGTTTTATGGAGCCTGGAGCTTTTAAACTTTTGGGTCTCTGTTATTAAAAAAAAAAAATACAAATTCTGAATAGAAAATCTACTACCATGCTCTTTGCAAGGGCCTGTGCAAATGAGGGAAGTTGAAGTTTGAGCTCTATCATCTTGCTGGTAATTTGCCTTTCGTTGTTCTATCCAGAAAATTAAATACCAAGTTTTTTAGTAGAAACTTTGTATTAGACTGTGGAAATAGGGAATAAATCATTTTATCTATCAATTGCTAAGTGAATAAAAGAAACTTTAGAACTATATTTTTGAATCCTGTCACTCGTAATAGAAATGATAAAAGTTTAACACATAGCCACAGAAATAATAATAGTAAAAGAAATTTAACATTTATTGAACTCCGAGAACCTCCTAAATACTGTGTTGAGTGTCTTCTTTCATCTAATCCTTGGGATACCCCTATAGGCAATGTAATTATCCCTGTGTTACAGATAAAGAAACTGAGGGTCAGAAATGATAAATGATTTCCTTATACCACTAGTCGGTGGCTGAGCCCAGATTGTAATTGGAGGAGTTCCAGAGTCATCCTCCTTAAAAAGCCAAGAGAGTATTTCAGGATTTTTCAGAGAACCAGCAACTAAGGCTGCACCAAAACCACAAAGCATAAAACTGATTTTTTGGACCTGGGAGGAGGTCTTTAAAAGAAAACAGGACTCTGCCATTGAGATTGCTGCAAACCTGATGTCTTTGTTTTACATATAATGAATATGGTTTTCTTACTAGGTTAATAAAAAATTTTAGCAGCAAACTTAGCAAAACAGATCTCTGTCTTTTCATTTTACTCCTTCAGATCCATAGTAAGTCCTGAGCAGTACAGCCAGCTCCTTTATTTTAGACATCTTTTGAATGAACTGATTTGACTCAGGATGTACATAAAAAGTAGGCTGTGCTGTTGAGACCAGTGATGAATATGTGCTTAGTTATCATTTTAGCAAATGATTCAACTCTTAATTTAAAAATCATTTTCATTAAACTTAGTAATAATTATCCTATCAGTAGACTATGAAACTAATATTAAATACAATGTCATCCTGAATTTTAACATTAATTTCCCAAATACAGTATTTCACTCAAAAAAGCTGTATTGTTAAATTGCTATATTTCATTTAGTAGTATTTTAGCAAACAGTGTAAAATTTAAAACTAAGATAACCTTTATACCTCTTCAAACTGATTGACGAGCTTAAATTTTTTTCTTTATCTCAGGCCCCCTCAAAGTTTTATGTATTCAAATATAAGTGAAGTATCCATCTTTATTTTACTATGTAGTTGGTGCTATAGCTAGAAATAGAAATATATTCCCTGCAAAGTACACTGTTTGGTTTCTAACATTCTCAAGCAATGGATGCTTTACTGAATACGTTTTGTAGAAAAAAAAATTACCCATATATTAGAAAATCGAGGTCCTATTTTCCTTCTTTAGACATATTTTGAAACAAAGTCATTTAAACTACTGTTAATTAAAAAAAATTACAAGTGAAGATTTTGGCCATTTTAATATAGAGGGTTCCAATATTCTTTTTTTTTAAGTTTGTGAAGTAACTGTCTAGACCAGTGGTAGACTTACTAGGCACTTGAACTGTCTTTTAATGGTTTTAGATTTTTTTTGTAGTGCTACTGTTTGTATCTTAATTCATCTATTTTGTTGTAGAAGAAAAGATGTGGAGTGGACTGCTGCCTCCTGGCCTAAATGAAAGTGATATTGAATCAAATTCTGAAGATGAGGCCACACCACAGAACTTTGATCATAACTTACAGGGAGAAAAAGAGATTGGGACCGTTAGAGAAATAGAAATCTCAGGTTTGTCAGCAGATGGATCAAAAACTGAAACAGAGGCAAGAGCAAATGCATATGAAGAGTGCCCTTCTGGAATTCCCTTAGATATGTGGAATGTAAGTTTTCTCTGATGTGCCCTTAGGAAGCTGGTGTGTTTTTATGTGTTTTACACTGTGGTCAGAATGTGGGTTCTTGGGATGCACCAGGTAGGGAAGTTGTGCCCAGAATACTTTCTCTGTTCTCTTGAGTCCACTAACACTTTTGATATTTTTATTTTTGTTGCTGTTTTTCATTAAAAAGAGTAAGAAAAAGAAACTACTGCGTAGAATTAACTATTGTGCCTGACCTGAAAAAGGACTTTCTCACTTCATTTTATCTGTTTATCTGAGTCATTTAGTTTCACTTCCATTATCAAACAACCTAACACCAAAAGTAATGAATATCAAAGCTCAGGTTGTGAGCATCTTGGTAATAGAGTATTTCCTACTTTCATTAATTGATATCTTTATAAATGTTAAAATGTTAAGTGTTTTTATTACTTAACACATTTGTTGTTTTTAAAAATGCACGTTTTTCTTCAAAATGTATTTCTTTTTTAAACTTTACATAGAAATTTCAAGAATTGCATAAAAAACATTCTGAACAGAAAACTTCAGCCTCAAGATTCAGAGTGAGAAAGAGAAAACGCTCCAGAAAAGGTGTTTTTTTTTTTTAATTCAAATTGTCTGTAGTCCCTGTGCTAAATTGTGAATTCATTTGTGACCCATTGAATTAAATAATTTTTAAAAAACATTATTTTGAAATAACTGAAGTATTGATGCTTTGTGGATTCTTTTCAGGTAAATTGAAGAATGATAAAGAATCTAATAGGTAGGTAGAATTTTTAATAGTTATTTACTTTAGGCAGTATTTGTAGAACTTGTCCAAATAGCTAAACCTACTCATTTCTGATACTAATCAAATATAAAGACCTAATGGTTATAGTTATAGCAAATTAAACATAGTAAAAATAAAAATGAGTAAAACAAAGCCTTACAAATTTATTTTCTTGCAGTGAGCAGTCCTTAAATGAAACCCAGTGGAAGGAGCTTACTCAGTACTTCGGAGCCAATGATAGATTTGAACCCCCTGTTAAAAAGAAAAAGGTTGAAAAGGTAGGATCTTTTAAATTGTGTTTTGTATTAAATGGTATCATATATTTGTGATTAGTCTTGCCTAAGGTACTTGCTCATTGATTCATTCAATTAAAAAGTTGAGAAAACTATTATGTACCAAAAGGATGTCAGATAAACAAGTAGATGTATAGTTACAAATCATTTAAAAGCCATTAAAAAGGAAAAGAATAGGTTGTAGTGAAAAAGGAAAATAAGACCCTCATATGATTTTGGGTGGTCAGGGAGAGCCCTTCTTAGAAGATACCATTTCAGTAAAACCTGCAAGGTGAGGGAAAAAACAACATAAAGGATGATTGTGCAGAGGCAGTAACATGGGTAAAGATCCCAAGGAAGTTATCCTAGGGCCTCTGAATAACTAAGAAGGCTACCCTGGCTGGAATGAGTCAGCATAGCAAGGGGTGCCGGAGATAAGAGAGGTCAGGCTGGCAGGGAAGGGCCAAACTGAATAGGACCTCAGAAGACGTAGCAAGGAAGTAGTTTTTATTTACAGTGATGTAATCAAATTTGTATTTTAAAAGATTGCACTGGCTATTTAATGTGGAGAAAACATTATGGGGCAACAAAAGTAGATAAGAAATTAGTTAAACTTGTAGGCACAATATAATGGTGAATTGAACAAGAATGGTACTGCTGAAGATGCAGAAAACTGGGTGGACTTGAGGAATAGTGTAAAAGTAGAATCAATAATATTTGCTTCTGCATTGTGTATGAATTGCTAGGGAGGCCTTGGGGCATAAGGAGGAAGAGTTTTTCAGGGTTTTGCTTTAAACTGGTGTGCACGGTGATGTTTATGAAGATGAGAAAGTTTGGGATGGGAAAAGATGTCAAACTGGAGCCTACGCAGAGTTGGTTTTGGGGCATGGCATTAAGTGGCACACAGAACAGAGTGTGCAGTTAGTAAAAAGCAATAAAGGTTCAGGACAGAGGCTAAGATTGAGAACTGTCAGTCCATAGTACATAGTAAGCTTGAAACAGTAACTCACAGAATCATAAAAGAATATTGACAGGTTAAATACTACTTCTCCTGGGAAACTTTTTTTTAAGGTTTTACTTGTGAATTAGTCTTTGATTTGTAGTTATTTACAGTATTAGGTTTTCTCATAATTATGTTGACTTTAGATTGCCTAAATCATTTCTTGCTGAAACTAAAGCCATGAAATGAACTTTTTAGTCTTTCTAAAATAAAAATTTAGAGAATGTTATTTATAGTCTTTATTAGAATTTTATTGTCATGTTGCTTATGAAATTATCTTTTTGTTATTGGCTAAATATGACTATTGTCTAGAATTTAGAATTTGTTGAGTATGATATACTAGGATTCGTTGTAGTACAAAGTCTTTTAAATTCAGTTTGAAGAACTACTTCTCTTTCACATTATGCATTAGATATGTTCCAGAAGAAAATTGTAAGTCACACGCCATTCTGAGTGAGATCTCTGTTTAAGGGACGTTGCTAAAGTCCTGTTGTAGTCACCTATTGATGTGTTTGATAACTTTGGGTTTTCTTGATATTCTTAGTATTCCTTTGTATAACTAAGAAAGTTATGCCAGTCTTCTTAATGAGGAAACTGATACTGGTGAGGCACGCATTAGTGCGGGATTTTGCCAACACTTGATATTCTACAGATACATGCGAGCATAAAAGAAAAGAATAGATTTATTGAGGCCGAATTATTTCATGTTCTCTTGGGAGTTCAGTGTAATTGCATGCCAGCAAGTCCACACTCATTCTTTGGTTTGGGATCATGGTTTTGCATGTCACCCTTAGGCTGTTGGGCAAAAGTCTCTACTGTGAATCTAATAGAATAAATAAACTGTAAAGAATGTCCGCATTGGAGGACCAAGATAAAAGCTCCGAGTAAATGTAAGTCCAGCAGATAGTAAGTACTGCACTTGCAATCTAGTGAGGATCACGAAAACCTCTAATGCACTATGGACAAAACTAGCATGGATTTCCAGCCGGCCGTTGTATTTGTCTAGAGCAGAGGCTGATCTGTTACCATATCTCAGAGAGCCTTTTTACTTTGTATTCACTCGGCCCTCATGAACAGCACAGCAAAACAAACTTCTTAATCTTATGTCTATCATGCAGTCTTTTTTTTTGCTTTTCCTTTTTTGGAACACTGCCACGCTGAAACTGTTGCTCAGCCCAGAATGTGTATTTATAACACCGCTGTCACCTGCCTGCCAGACAGTGCAGAGAGGCTTATATTTTAAAATGTAATCTTCCTAATATCCAAAGCTGTTTTAAAGTGTTCTTTGTATTAAATACAGCTATAATTGTGTTTCTGGCAGCAGTTCTGGGACTTACTAATAAATCTGTAATCATAACATAATTATTTTAAAATCTATGTGGGAATTACTATTTTGAATCTATGTGGGAATTTCTTTAGAATAAATTTCACTCATTAATTTCATTATAAATGTCTTGAGTATTCTTTAGTTGAATCAATTTGATTAGTCAGTAGTCATTATTACGTAATTCTAATGTATTTAATGGATACTTTTTGGTGTGAAAACTAGAGTTAATTTTAATAATTGCTAAAGTATTTGTACAGTATCTTTGGTTTTTTAAAAAGTTGTTTATGAGCGGAAACTGCTACTGTACAGTGTATCTTTTTTCACACTTTTAAAAAAGTGGAATACTTGTTCCATCCAAACTTTTATGTGGGATTGCAGTGCACAGGTCAGACTAAAGCCTGGCTGCCTTGTGTGGACAGGGAGGAAGGTGCGGGTGTGTGGAAATGTCGTGGTGGTACTGCAGATTTCCCCGGGTATCAATTCCACAGTGTTCTCTCTTGGTCCTTCTGTGATTGATCCTTGTGGGGTGGGTAGGCAGGGCCAGTGCTAATTCTCATAATACAGATGAAGAAACTGAAGCTTAGTATAATTTGCCTAACAAAACAAACAAATAAGAAATGAAATAGGACTTAAACCCAAGACATTTGCATCCAAATGCAGATTTTTCCTTTTTTTGTTACCTGGCATTGAACTTGGGTCCTTGTGCTTGCAAGGCAGGTGGCAGAACCACTGAGCTAAATCCCCAGTCAAAATCTAGATTTTTCTGAATAGCTGACTTGATTTATACTTACTTGACTCAAATGATTTAAATGAGTATGATTTATACATAAAGGTAACAAAATCATAAATAAGATTTATAAATAAGACAAGGTTTACATTTGTATAAAAGATCTCCTTTTCTCCTTTATGGAGAAATAGCCTCATTTTTCCCTCTATATATTTAGGTCCAATCCTAATGAAAACATTATTTCAGCAGTTAAGTTACTTGTATTACACTTTAAAAATTAAATGTTACCCAAGTAAATATTTGGTAGTAAAGTTTTTATAGAAGTATATTGGGGTACAGCTTGACTGAAAGAGCCTTAGTCACGTATTAGAATATATGGTGCACATATGGATGGTTAGTCCATAATGTTAAACCTACTACCCAGAAATTTCTTAGATGCTTGTAGTCCTGCCTTGTGGAGATCTGCAACAAACTTTATTAATTAGATCTTGGTTGTTGCCTCGTGGGAACCTGTTAGATACTGCCCTTAGATGAATTTCCCACCTGTGGCCAAATTGCCATTCCTAAATTTGTCTGTCTGCATTGAGATGTGTCTTAAGTTCTGATTCTATCTGAAAGGCAGCTTAGAAGCACAGCAAAGCACTACACCTATTAGCTCTGCCCTGTGCTAATGGCCACTCCCTTGGTGTATAAAAATGTTCCCGCGCAAATCAGGTGAAGGTCGAAATCCTGTGAGGCTACTGGCTCTGAGTTAAATTTCATGCTATAGCACCATTGACCAAAGGGTCAGTAGCCAGTTGATGTCACAAGATGATTCAGTAAGCTGGCCACCCACTGGCATATTCATGGGTGTTGGGAGAAATGGATTCTTCTTTACTCACCGATGAGTCATCATTCTAGGTCTTGGTACAAAAGAGTACAACACTCAGGTCTTCTGTAATCTCAGAAGATGAGATAATTGTAAGGGAACACAGTTGCTGTGGTGGAGCAAGCAGGCAGGCTTAAGAATACATTAGTGATCTGGTTGCTTAGGTAAAAGATTGGAGCAGTCTGTGCTGACTGATTATTAGCTTGCGTTAGCTATCAGGCTACCCCAGTGTTTGTGATACAAGGACAATTGAATTAATATTAATGTTTTGTTTCATCTCAGTGGCATTTGAGGTGATAACTAATATTTTGTACAGGAAGGAAAGGCAATTGTATCAACATTTTTAAGATAAAACTTTATTTTCAATATAAATTAAATACTAGCTATGAAGTTCTCAGCACAGTTATTGTTTAAAGCTCTGGTAGTCCATGATGGAGAAGATATTCCCCGTGCCCTCAGGAATATATGTTTTAATAACCTAATAGATTTATATAAACAAGCATAATAACATGTGCTCCCCCCCCACCATAGAGGCATTATTAGCTCGATATTCCTATCATAGAAATCTCTTGGGGACTTCTCAAAGCAGTGGGTATGTCATGTTCCCAGTGTGGGTGGGGTCCTTTTAGCATTGATGCAAATATGGATTAAGGCACTGTGGATATTAACTCCAGAGCAGAGACTGACTGAGTGCCTTCCATGAGGAACGTGGCTGGGTTTGGGGCATTCCAAGCCAGTGCGAATCTGCTTTAGCTGAGCATAGACCCCAAGAGAGGAGGCAGTGTGTCAGGTTAGTAAATTAAAGGAAGACATGAGGTGCAGTGAAGAGCACTCTGGTGTGGGTTCTGGGGAAGGGTGGCAGGAGCCGTAAGCACATAGGGCCTTAGAGAAGGTAACATTTGATGTGAGCCTGAAAAGATGATTAAGATTTTTCAAAGGGAAGCAGATCAGAGGCACAGGGAGCATTAATAAAATGGTAAATGTGGCGAGAGATTAGGGAGCATGTTGTTGCCGAAGATGAGGCAGAGGAAAAAAGTCATCTAAAAACTGTTAGTCGTAAAATTGATTTGTATCCTGGCACAAGCTCCTTAGCTCTTGAGGGACCAAAATAAACAGTTCATGGATTGGCTCTGTTCACAGGCCACTGCTGGTACCTAGACCACAGTGGGAGCAGCACTGGCTTAGAGTGCAGACTTCTGAGGAGGCTAGAGTTACAGATTCTTGAAAATGAGAGATGTTGGAAAAGTGAGTTCGAAGTGTCCCTTAGACCATCAGAAGAAGGGTTCTGCAGAAATGTGAGAAAGAAAATTTCTGGAGGTTTGGCAAAAAATGTGAAGAAGGCATCAGAGGCATGTGGCCTGAGTCAGACATTATGAAGGGCAATTGAGTGAAGGTCTCCAGCTACTACAGCCATTGGTCTTGGCCTTTGGGTTTATGAGGAGGGGCTAAGAAGGAACAGTCTCCACCTAAGCACTTCACTGGCCTTTAGTTTCTCTGATCTTTTTTTAGGCAGATTTTTTTTTTTTTTTAAGTCTTATTTCAACAAAGGCTACACAGAAACAAAATTCTGCAGTTGGCTGGCCATCAAGCAATGTACTGATGGGAGAGACAGTCTTAGTATTTTTGTTGTTACTAAATAAGGGCAGCACAGTCTGTCAGATTGGAAACTGAAGGGTTTATACTAGGCAAGTCATTTTTAGGATAAAAATTTTTTTATAAAAAGTATATTATTAGAGCTTTAAAATGTTTTATTTTCTGTAGGATTTTCACAATCTAAAACTCATTTTACTTACATCAACACATCTTTCCATAAATTCACGACGAGCCTTACCTCGCCTGGTAATTTCATGAAATTTTAATTATGATTAAATCATTTAATGTGATTTCCTCCCATGTTTAACATTCAGCCTCGTGTCCATAGTCAGAGACCTTGAAGAACTATGAGGGAGAGTCTTGAGCTATAGGAATGGGTGTGGCTAGCTAGGCAGGGTTTACCCCTCTATACCTAGGTACCCTGTCTTTGGCCAGGTTAAGGAGTCTGTGACTATTTCCTTATCTTTCAGACAGGATATTTCATGGAGTTGTTAGGATGAAATGAGCTTTCTTAATGAGTAAGCCTAGGGTCTACCAAATAATAATCACTCCACGAGTTTTAACTATTATCATTAATGTTATTAAGGGAAATCTTCGGAATCTTAAGAATCTGCATTTGCACCTCCTTTTTATTATTAATTCAAAACACTGTATAACCTTGGTAAATCATTTAATGTTTCTTACAACTTCTGGTCTGTAAATTGTAATAGTTGCAACAACTTTGTAGGATTACTGTGACAGTTAAATGGTCTACACATGTATTGTATTTAGTGTACTACTGTGACGTAGGCTTTGCTAGCACATTGTTGCTTTCCTTTCCTGCCCTTAATTTTTATGATTCTTTTCCTTTCAGTCTGGCCTTGAAAAGAAGATAGACCAGGCTGTGGAGGAGTGGGATGTTGAGAAGGCTGAGGAACTCAGCAACCAGCTGGCTACTCGAGAGGTAGGTAGCCTGGTTACACTTTATCTGTGTTTCTCATTTTTTCTGAAATGAATCTTCATTCTTTTTATGATCATTAATAAATTCAGTATTAAAATATTTGATGGGAGATTTTCCTTTTTGTCCATTTTTTGCTGCTTATTTTGCTTCTTTTTAAACGCTAAACTTTACTTGTGTTTTTAACGTTCTTAGATTATTCTGCTCTAAAATTTAATGCTAGACATATCCATGATTGATTTTCAACCCTAGCTTTACTTACAGAGATTTTTTTTTTTTCTAGGTATGGTTTCTTTTTACATTTATATCTCAGTAAGCCCCTCTTTAGAGTAGTTTTATATGTTCTAAGATCACATCCCTCAACCTTGTCTTAACCCTTGCTAAAATGTTTTCTTAGTGTGTAGTATATTGTGCACCCCCCCAAAGAATTTGAAGCTTTTTTCTTTTTTCTATATAATAATAAAACCACTGTATAAACTGAATATTCATTTTCCAGTTACAGAAGGCCATGTGAAAATGCTTTTACTCTCTGAGAAGGGAGATGTGGGAGGGCATTCCTGCTACTGAGAATTAACCTCATCAAGAGCTCATATTAGCATATGGTTTCTTGTTATTTTGTAATTCCTTTTTGTTCTTAGGAAAATGTCTCTACCTTAGTTTGTATTCTTAGTGTTTGGATCCTTCTTCCTTCATTCTCAAACCATTCCCATTTCTGGTGTTGCTTACATAGAGAGCATTGTGGGTCATCTGTGTAAACTACTGGCAGTGCTCAGTTTTCTAACTCAAAGCAGGTGAAATTTTCTTTCTAAACTGAGACTTAAGATGACTTTATCTCAGTACATTATCCTTTGCAAATACCATGGACTCTTTCCCCATCAGATCTCAAAAGAAACCAAATCATCCATTGATGAGTGTTTGTTGGAAAATTTGCATGTGTTTTTCCCCGTATTTTTGGCTTCAAGCTTAAATGTTGTTGTGAATTTTATAGTTTTTATATAGAAAAAATAAATTCAGAAGAGAGGCATAGACATTCAAAATTATCTTTTTTTCTTTATGCTTTTTAAAGTTATTTGCTACATGAAATACTTATGTGCGTAATATGTATACATGTGTATTAATGGCTAATATAAGGGAAATTGTGAAGCCCTGGGCCTCAGGAATATTGGCAAGAAGTAACCTTAAGTGACAGTTTTGTGGTTTTCAAAAAGCATGTTGCCATTTTTAAAAAGTATTTTTATTGTGGTAAAGTAGACATAAAATTTATCTTCTTTACTCCTGAAGTGCATTCACTTTGTTGTAAGCCACCGTCCATCTCCAGAACTCTTCAGCTTGTAAAACTAAAACTCTGTACCAATTAAATAGTAACTTCCCTTCTCCCCTTCACCCAGCCCTTGGGAGCCATTCCTCTGTCTTGAATTTCACTCCAGTACCTCATAGAGGTGACATCACAAAGTATTTGTCTTTTTGTGCCTGGTATATGTCAGGTGCGGTAATGTCTCAGAGTTCCGTAATGTTTTCGGAGTTTATCTATGTTGTACATGTCAAAATTTCCTTCCTTTTCAAGACTAATATTCTGCTGTATGTATTTGTTACATTCTGTATTTTGTACAGTTTGATTATGCATTCAGCTGCCACGGGACACCTTGTATCACTCAGCTTTTCAGTGCTCTTAACAAAAACCTGGGAAAATCAACTTAAAAGAGCTAAGATGTATTTTGGCTCAAACTTGCAGACGTTTCAGTCCGCGCTTGCTTAGCTCTCTCTGTTGGCTTTGGGCCTGTGGTGAGACCGAACATCATGGTGGACAGGGCGTAGTGGAAGAGAGCTTCACCTCGAGTCCTCATGTTCAGTCACTTCTCAAAAGTCCCTCAGCTGACACTGGTCCTGTAGCACATAGTCGAAACTTCATATTTCATCCATGACACACTTTTGACTATTACAAATAACTTTGCTATGAACATGAGTGTCCAAAGACCTGTTTGAATCCTTGCTTTCAGATCTTTCGAGTGTATATAGCTACAAGTAGAATCGCTGTATCATAAAAACTTAGTTTTGCTTTTTTTCCTGGTAAGATGTTCTCCTTTCTTACATTGTAATACTTGTGCTTGAAGTTTGACAGTTACCCTATTTCATATACAAAAAGTAGCTCTATTTTGACTTGTTAGTATACCTCACATAGCATTTTATTCCTATATTTTGGAATAGGAAGATGGCGGTATTATATTTTAAGATGAATTGTAAAGTATGTGAACGGTCTCACAAACTCAGTTTAGTTTCAGTGTTTGTTGGTTGTTACAGTGGCTTCTGCAGTGTGAGTAAGATAAGGGTCTTTATTCCTGCATTTTGGGCTATGTGTCAAAGATGACCTTTTAAGAATTCCATTCAACATAGTGTTTTTGTAAACTATTGGGCACTTGGAACTTATATTTTCATAGAAGTGCTGTTTGGGGTAGTGGCTTAGTTTCTTGGCCAGCTTGATAATACAGTTAACTCATGAGATACAATCTCCACATTGTGTAAAAGTGTCATGAAAAAACATCAGGGATTAGTGGTAGGGAGAGGCGGAGCTTATGGTGTCAGAAGAGACCCCAGCAGGTAGGTAAGTGTCATTACCCTAAGGAGCAGGAGTATACTCAGACACCACGATGGGGCTGTAGAAGAGTGTTCAGGATCTAAGGGGGCTTTCAGAGCCTGGAACACATACAAGCAGCAACAGGCAATTTCTGGTCTGTGTCCCACATAAGCTGGTAGAAGTCTCATTTGGATCAGGAACATTTGGATCAGACCTTTTGGAGAACCAGTGCTTAAATGTATTACGAGTGATCAGATATTCCGTGCTGTGCTACATGTTAAACAAATGTCTTGTAAATTCTTTTACAAGTTCTGCAATGTATTAGTGGTTGCTATTGGATGGTGGCTGGTCTGTGGACATTTAGGTAGTTCCGTTAAAGCATAGTACAGGCACATAAGAAAGAACCAGAGTATGGCTGCACTGTTGCTTGTACACGTGCTGTGGATTTCATTGGTCTGTTCAGTATCACAGACTTGGCAAACTGGTTTCTCACTGCTATTGAGTATCTAACCTTTTAAAACACCTAAGGTTGTATACTATATAATCTCTTCCAAATACCACAGAAGCCATGACAGTGATAGCAGAGTTCCCCAGGTCGGTCAGTTTTCAGAGGCTTTTGCTTTGTTAAGGGGAGAAAGGAATAAGGGTAAGACAAAGCCTAGGCTACAGTATTATTAAAGTGTGGCACCATGTGGTCCATCGGCTGCTCTCCATTTCTCTTTTTTGTCTTTTCTACTTACTAGCACATCCACTAGAAGTGAAAGGCATTCACTTTACCGCAGGTTCTGTGTTCCTTTTAGCAGAATTAGTAGTGCTGAAGTTTTGAGCTGAACACATTTTACTTTAAAAAGAAAACTTACTGTGAAATTATTTCAGAGTTTCAGAAAGTTGGAAATTTGTCAAAAGTTTCCCATTTCTAGTCTGTTGTACCTGTCCTACTGAATTACTTAAAATTTTATTTATCTTGGTCTATAATATTGTCTTATGTTTTCAAGTTTTTTCATCTTTAATCTGGAATAGTTCCTCAGTTTCTTCATTTCTCAGGACCTTAACATTTTTGAAGAGTAGAGGCCAGTTGTTTTGTAGCATGCCCCTTGATTTTGGTTTGTCTGTGATTTACTCATGATTGATTTCAGACTATGCAGCTTGGGCAGAAAAATCACAGAAGTGATGGAGGTGTCCTTCTCATTGCAAACTGTCCAGAGGCACCTGCTCTCTCCTTATGCCATTTATTAGTGGGGTTGCTTTGATTATTTGAAGAGGATAATCTCTCCACTGTGAGTTGCTGTTTTCCCCCTTTGTGATGAGTAAGAAACTTGGGACTGGTCATAATCTACAACTGTGTAAATGTTACCTTTCACATACTTTCACCCACTAGTTTTAGCATCTTTTGCTAATTCTTTTCATGCTTGAGACACTTATTACGGTGATTTATGATGATGATGACTTTAGGTCTTTAGAATATGAATTGATTGTACTTTTCATCTTGGCAGTCAGATCGGAAATTTGGTTTAAGTGAGATACTAGGTTGTAGAATCTTTTCTGTATCTGCATTAGAGCTCATAGTAAACCTGGATAATTTCCTAAATGATGCACAGGGCTGGGAAGCAGTCACCATGTGATATTCCACCCACCAGCTGCTGTATTACTGCTCTAGCCTTCCCTACTTGGTTGTTGGTGAGCTTGCTTCTTGCCAAACACCTAGAAGCAGTGCTGTAGAGAGTTGAGTACAAGTGTGCATGTGTTTCTTTGAGGATACAGCACTATGTTTCCTCTTTGATGTTTTGTCATTCTGTTATTTTAGAAATGGGAATTTTATATCACTTGGTGTTTTCCATTTAAAAGACTTCTCTTGTCATGCTTTATGGCAAATGAGATCACTTTAGAAATATATATATTTCCAGCACTTTTAAAGATGGGAAACATTTTTATCAATTATTCTTCTCTACAAATACAGTGCTTTGTCAGGATTACAGAATTCTGATTAAAAGAGAAAAGAAAACTTTGGGCCCTACACTTTTCCCTAGTTAAGTAGAAAGACACCTGGAAAATGTTCAGACACAGACCTTGGAAAGATACTCATGCCATAATAATTAAGCATCTGTGAAAAATACCTCATACAGACAGAATTTTTGAGTTAGTAGTTTAGCTTGAGATTTATGTTTTCCTGTTCATCCCCTTGGTGCCTGTCACTGTGGATATGAAAGATGGTGTGAGTTTGGGTGATAGGAGTGATGAGTGAAGCCCTTTATAAGGTGAAGTGTATATGTGTGAGGTAGGTGTCCTTTTGGAAAGCAGGTATATTGGTTTTTAATCAGTACCATTTTCTTTTTTCAAGAAGCAGTGACTGGGACCTGCTGATAAAGGCTTTGCTCAGAGGCATAGATCTCAGAGTTCTTACAGCCTTTTCCAGCCATAATAAGTGAAGCTAATT